ATTATGTAACTGTATTATCCTATCTTCAGGGAGGAATAATTTGGGTAAATATAGCCTTTAATTTAATGCTTGATCCCTTCATTGAGACTCGTGTTAACATTTAAACAAATCTAGTGTTCTGAACGTGATACTTAACTGACTTTGACTTTCCATTAGATTTTTGCTGGAATAAGGACCAGAGGATATTAGAAAGTTTATATTGCTGTACAAGACTTAATACTTTATGGATTATTTTGTTCCTAAACATCTTTGTTTAAGAATTAAGTGATCCCTAGATCTTAATTCACATTTTATCACATCACAAATGTTCTCTTTAAAATATGACAAAATACTATAAAGCTACCTGTTTGATAGATAGTAGGATAACTCATTACATAACCAACCCCTTAGTGACGTCATCATCAGATTACCTTGAGTTTCCTTAGTAAAAGCACCTGTTTTTTATATATTGTTGTGATACCATCAACAGATTACCTCCCTTTGTAATATACCATTAACAGTTTACCTTCCTTTGTAATATACCATCAACAGATTACCTCCCTTTGTAATATACCATCAACAGATTACCTCCCTTTGTAATATGCAATCAACAGATTACCTCCCTTTGTAATATACAATCAACAAATTACCTCTCTAGGTGATATACCATCAACAAATTACCTCCCTTTGTAATATACAATCAACAGATTAACTCCCTTTTTAATATAAAATCAGCAGTTTACCTCCCTTTGTAATATACAATCAACATATTACCTCCTTTTGTAATATACAATCAACAGATTACATCCCTTTGTGATATACAATCAACAGATTACCTCCCTTTGTAATATATAATCAACAGATTACCTCCCTTTGTAATATACAATCAACAGATTACCTCCCTTTGTAATCAGCAGTTTACCTCTTGTTGTTAACCCACCAGTATATTACCTCTGCAGTATTGTCCTGTTAAAAACCTATTTCTTGTAGTAAAATTAATAGTCTGTAGATCCTTATTTAATGTTTTGGGTAAATTACCTCCCTTTGAAATTACACTAATGTTACCTCTCATTGAATTGACATTAATTTCTTCCACATTTTCTGACATATGTTGATTGTCCTCCTGTTGTGTAACATGTAATTTATGGTTAATCACACCAAGTGAATTAGAAAATGAAGGGGTTGACAAAAAGAAGTTTGATTTTTCAAAAATGAAATCTCTTCAGTAGAAGTTTTTGATATTTCACTACCCTAATATATGTTTTAAAATCAGGTTTCTACATGTAGTTACTACAGTTGCTAAATCTGTTATTTATCTATGTCAGTTATACTATTTATACAAACCCAAATATCTTGGTGTCAAAGATAGAGGTGAAATCAATTTATACAGCTGACAATCAAATTGAGTTTTATTTCTGTCAATTGTCATAAGACTGTACAGCTTTGTATAGAGTATTAAACAAATACTGTTTGATTAACACAGGACTTAGGTGTATAGACTTAAAAAGTTATACATATCGAAACTTATCATTGTGTGTTGTGGACTTGAGACATTAATGTAAACCCTTGGACTCAATGTGTTGGTCAATCCCCGCGGCAGACCTGGTCGTAAGATAAACATAGCGTCCAGGTGAATGTTATAGTTATTTAGTGTATACAAGTTACTTTAAATCTGAGACGATAGATTATATACATTATAAAGGAGAAATACATTATGTCTTTTGTACCATTAGTGAAAAAGGGAAAGCATTTGTTCACTATAAACACTTAACATAATAGCTTAAAATCTTACTGTTTGTATTGTTGTATTATTTCCTGTTCAGAAACAAAATTACCTTTAATGTCCTTCATTCGAAAACTTTAAAGTGTTTTATCAGTACTTATTAAAGTCTAAGATGTTTTCTAAACATTTCACTGTTTTCTTAATAATATTTTTTTTTTCTTTATAATTTTTTTTATTTTGGAATCATTTTTGAACATATACATACATTATATAAAGAGACATAGGACAATAATTTACACTGCATTCTCATTATTATTCACACATACAGATACACGCTCTCTCACACACACCTGGATATCACTCACACATACAGATACACGCTCTCTCACACACACCTGAATATCACTCACACATACAGATACACGCTCTCTCACACACACCTGAATATCACTTACACATACATATACACGCTCTCTTACACACACCTGGATATCACTCACACATACAGATACACGTTCTCTCACACACACCTGGATATCACTCACACATACAGATACATGCTCTCTCACACACACCTGAATATCACTCACACATACAGATACACACTCTCTCACACACACCTGGATATCACTCACACATAGCGATACACGCTCTCTCACACACACCTGGAAATCACTCACACATACAGATACACGCTCTCTCACACACACCTGGATATCACTCACACATACAGATACACGCTCTCTCATACACACCTGAATATCACTCACACATACAGATACACGCTCTCTCACACACACCTGAATATCACTTACACATACATATACACGCTCTCTTACACACACCTGGATATCACTCACACATACAGATACACGTTCTCTCACACACACCTGGATATCACTCACACATACAGATACATGCTCTCTCACACACACCTGAATATCACTCACACATACAGATACACACTCTCTCACACACACCTGGATATCACTCACACATAGCGATACACGCTCTCTCACACACACCTGGAAATCACTCACACATACAGATACACGCTCTCTCACACACACCTGGATATCACTCACACATACAGATACACGCTCTCTCACACACACCTGGATATCACTCACACATACAGATACATGCTCTCTCACACACACCTGCATATCACTCACACATACAGATACACGCTCTCTAAGACACACCTGGATATCACTCACACATACAAATACATGCTCTCTCACACACACCTGGATATCACTCACACATACAGATACATGCTCTCTCACACCCACCTGGATATCACTCACACATACAGATACACGTTCTCTCACAAACACCTGGATATCACTCACACATACAGATACACACTCTCTCACACACACCTGGATATCACTCACACATACAGATACATAGTCTCTCGCAAAAACCTGGATATCACTCACACATACAGATACACGCTCTCTCACACACACCTGAATATCACTCACACATACAGATGCACGCTCTCACACACATACAGATACACGCTCTCTCACACACATACAGATACACACTCTCTCACACACACCTGCATACCATACTTGAACACTTATTGATATCCTTATTGAAGTCTACTATTTAGTTTTGTTTACACTTATATTACTCACACAGACACATTTGCATAAAGAAAAAATAAAGTAAAAAAAGGAAGGTGAGAGGAAAAGATGTGAAGTTCATGTCATTTCTATATTTGCTAGTTTTGCCACCCAAGTTTGATATTATAAATTTCTTTTATATATAAAAGCACAACATAAGTAGTTATAGATGTTGATTTTATTGTGTAAACTTTGCTCGGATGACTCCGTGCTAAATAATCTGGCCTACACATCATAGTTAAACCATTATTGTAGATGAAAGATGAATGCATTGTGTAGATAACTGACCTCAGGAGTTGTCTCTCATCTTTTCTTTTTTTTTTTTAATTGACTTTGAGAGAGCTCTATACCTGACAATACCAGGGATCTCTCTCTTGACACCTGTGTAGATGAATTAGAACAAAGACCTGTGTTTATTTTGGTTTAATAAGTGTCATTATCCTTATAATTGACCTGGCAATAAACATGCATATGATCTGTTGTATGGTGCATTTCTGTCAGTTGTCATATGTCATTGTCCCCCTTTGTAATTCTTGGCTCTTGTTAGAAAGAGAGAGAATATTCCTGCTGTATCTGACTGCATGTTGAAAGAGGTGACTAATTGTAGCTCATATGACCCTTACTGTTGCAAAGATATTAAACCCCATAAAAACAACAAAAAAATAAAGAAACCAACTTTTTGTCCAAATGTGGAAGAGGAGCTGCTGACGTCTTTGTCTGTTAGTATTGATACCTCCTTAGAAAAGCTAATATCTGAATGTTCAGTAGACAGTTAAACTTTAATGCTATGTACCATTTTAAATAATAATATCTTCTCTAGAACTGCTTATCACATTTCAACCAAACTTTGCATAAAACATGTTTTGGATTCAAGAGTGCAGAACTCTCTGTCCCTAAGGGGTGTAAGTTGGTTTCAGTAAAGGTGATAACAGAGGTGTGACTGAGATTATCTACCTTATAACCATGTGTACCTTATAATATACCTCATCCTCAGGGTAACATTTGGAATCAGGTAGTCTGTAATAGTCACTTAGGACCTATACAATGTTGCCTGTTATACGATTGCAAGGATATGGGAAGACAAATACACCCGTGCTACAAATTTACCATGGAAGTCCTATTTTTTTATTAGAAACAATTACTTCCTTATTTCTTTTTGTTTTTGTTCCCAGGTGAGCAATACAGGCCCTCAGGGCCTCTTGTTCCCCTATAGAGCTTTGTGTGTTGGTTGTTTATTGGTAGTTCACACAATTACTGTAACAGTTGTATTTCACCTGTGTAAAATATAGTGCCAGTGAAAATTTAATCTAATTTAGAGTTTGGCTTTATAAGCAGATTTTAAGTTCCATCAGCGTACATATTCTTGTATTTCTTTGTACCAAGAATACAAAGAAATGGTTACAAAAAACTTTTTGAATTTACTTCAGCTGGGTAAAAACATGCATATAGATAGTAATGTTTCATTGTTGAGCTCAAACATTTTTTGACAAAATAAGTTTTTGTTGACTTGTTATTTTGTTGATGAATATTGATCACGATGTCCAATGATACATCAATATTAAACAGCTTACTAAGTTGTTAATATAGAAACTTTACTCTTCCCTACCAAATCAATCAAAGTAAACACAAAATATACTAAATTTACATGTTGTATGTTTCAGTGACCTCATCGCGAATAGAGGCATTGTCCCAGCCGAGACGAGCTGCCTTGTACAAGGGAGACAGGTAAATATCATCAAATAACGTAAATATCTTATTGGAGTAGACAATGAAGCTTCAGCAGTATTTGTAATTTATCATTTATAAAGCACTAGTATTCAGTACATGGTTATATAATGATCACACAATCAGGTGTGTGGGACAGGAAATGTACAGTGATACACCTCTATCAGGTGTGTGGGACAGGAAAGGTATAGTGGTACACCTCTATCAGGTGTGTGGGACAGGAAATGTACAGTGATACACCTCTATCAGGTGTGTGGGACAGGAAAGGTATAGTGGTACACCTCTATCAGGTGTGTGGGACAGGAAATGTACAGTGATACACCTGCTCAATCAGATGTGTGGGACAGGAAATGTATAGTGATACACCTCTATCAGGTGTGTGGGACAGGAAATGTATAGTGATACACCTCAATCAGGTGTGTGGGACAGGAAATGTATAGTGATACACCTCTATCAGGTGTGTGGGACAGGAAATATATAGTGATACACCTGTTCAATCAGGTGTGTGGGACAGGAAATGTATAGTGATACACCTCTATCAGGTGTGTGGGACAGGAAATATATAGTGATACACCTGCTCAATCAGGTGTGTGGGACAGGAAATGTATAGTGATACACCTCTATCAGGTGTGTGGGACAGGAAATGTATAGTGATACACCTAAATCAGGTGTGTGGGACAAGAAATGTATAGTGATACACCTCTATCAGGTGTGTGGGACAGGAAATGTATAGTGATACACCTGCTCAATCAGGTGTTTGGGACAGGAAATGTATAGTGATACACCTCAATCAGGTGTGTGGGACGGGAAATGTATAGTGATACAACTCAATCAGGTGTGTGGGACAGGAAATGTACAGTGATACACTTGCTCAATCAGGTGTGTGGGACAGGAAATGTATAGTGATATACCTCTATCAGGTGTGTGGGACAGGAAATGTACAGTGGTACACCTCTATCAGGTGTGTGGGACAGGAAATGTATAGTGATACACCTCTATCAGGTGTGTGGTACAGGAAATGTATAATAATACACCTCTATCAGAGGTGTGGGACAGGAAATGTACAGTGATACACCTGCTCAATCAGGTGTGTGGGACAGGAAATGTATAGTGATACACCTGCTCAATCAGGTGTGTAGGACAGGAAATGTATAGTGATACACCTCTATCAGGTGTGTGGGACAGGAAATGTATAGTGATACACCTCTATCAGGTGTGTGGGACAGGAAATGTATAGTGATACACCTCTATCAGGTGTGTGGGACAGGAAATGTATAGTGATACACCTCTATCAGGTGTGTGGGACAGGAAATGTATAGTGGTACACCTCTATCAGGTGTGTGGGACAGGAAATGTACAGTGATACACTTGCTCAATCAGGTGTGTGGGACAGGAAATGTATAGTGGTACACCTCAATCAGGTGTGTGGGACAGGAAATGTACAGTGATACACCTGCTCAATCAGGTGTGTGGGACAGGAAATGTACAGTGATACACCTCTATCAGGTGTGTGGGACAGGAAATGTGTAGTGATACACCTGCTTAATCAGGTGTGGTGGATTGGAAATATATGGTGATCACATCTGCTCAATCAGGTGTGGTGGATTGGAAATATATGGTGATCACATCTGCTCAATCAGGTGTGGTGGATTGGAAATATATGGTGATCACATCTGCTCAATCAGGTGTGGTGGATTGGAAATATAGGTGTGGTGGATTGGAAATATATGGTGATCACATCTGCTCAATCAGGTGTGGTGGATTGGAAATATATGGTGATCACATCTGCTCAATCAGGTGTGGTGGATTGGAAATATATGGTGATCACATCTGCTCAATCAGGTGTGGTGGATTGGAAATATATGGTGATCACATCTGCTCAATCAGGTGTGGTGGATTGGAAATTAAACCTCAACAAAGATTTCCAATGTTTCCAGGTTGCCCTTTTTCTTTAGATCGCAGTTATTGGAGAAAATGGAATTTATCAATATTTTTCCTTATAATCATTGATATGGTCTCTACGCTGCATAAATGTAACATTTACCAACATGGATTTATTTGTTTAATGCTCCATTTATCTAGGATTTTGCTTAAGTTTGCACAATTTTAACAGCATGATGCTCTTCAGTTTGAATGTTAAATATATTTTGCTGACATGGTTGTCGTGTCATGAGTACAACAGATGCTTATTTATAGGTTGAATAATTCACTTTATTGATGTTTATTTTAAGGCACTTGTACAACTTTATCTGGACAAGTTTTAGGGTTGGAAGCCTTTTAATTCAACAATTCATGTTGTTGTATTGATTATTAACATTTCAGTAGTGATAAACAAATATATATTTGTTTGAACATCAGAATTCCATTACAAATTGAGTCAGGATCTCAATTGTTTCATATCTGTCCATGGGGCTCAATGTACATTTAGTTCAATATTTGAGCTGTCACATGACTCATCAATCCATAAGGAATCTTGTGTCAAAACTCTAAAATGTTTGATAAATCAATTTATAATGGAAAATATAGTACTTCAGAAGATATAAATTTGGTAGATATCACATATTTTATGATGTTCTAAATAAGCTGATTTAAATGTTATTTAATTGATTTTAGATATTTCTGACAATGTAGTGGTGTTTTTAAATATTTCAGATGATGTAATTTTAAAAATTGATACTTTTACTATGAATGATGTTTTTCCTGGACTATGGCAGACTTAAAACAGAAACAAAAAAAGTTCTTTTTCTGTCATTTTATCACAAGTTTCTTTTTATGTGATCATTGTTGGACCGGGATCCTGCTTTTTATTGTTTTATAAATTGAAAATGACAGAAATTGATGACATTCTTGTCAGTAACCTGTTTTGTGCTCCAATGTTTCCAATGGTTAGTTAGTTCAGTAATCTGTATACAGTATTTGATCTAATTAACGACCATCTGTTATAAAAAGGATGCTCTCTCATTTTATGTTCTTTGTTTGTAAACCATGTCAGACTGTATCACATCCCGTTCACATCAATATCAACCTCTTAACTAGTTCTGTACTTAAATCACAATCAAAGGTAAGGTCATTGTTGGGTCAAAGGTCACATTTGACAACCTCTGCAGATTTATCAAACAAAGAACACACCAGTCTATGGTGTGGTGTAGGGGCAGCAGGACTTACAATTTACATTTAAAAGTGGATTTGAAAAGGTATTTGATTATTTAGATGAAAATGTTCCACTGTTGTTTTTCCAACAAAATACCGTACATTTCCGCGTATAGTGCTCACTTTTTCAAGTTAAAACTATCATGTCAAAAAGGGGGTGCACATTTTATGCAGGAATATGCCATTCTTGGGGTTATCATTCCCGAGTTCTGCGTCCGCCATATTGGATTACCTCCCTTCACATAGTTATATGTAAAAGTCGTCGGTCATATATGATATGATGTATTTAAGATTCTTTTCTTTTTTTTCCAAATCACGGAAATTATCCAAAATTTTAACTTGATAGAATATTGCTCCGAAATGGCTCTGAAATATTTAGGTCAAATACTGTATGTACCTGATAGCTGTCAGTAACAGTAAATAAGTCTGTATTTATTTTTAATGTCAATCATTTTCAGCTTGCCAGTAATTCTCCCAAATGGTAACAGGTAATAAAATGATGGGGGGAAACAGAAGAGAGAGAGAGAGAGAGAGAAGAGAGAGAGACAGACAGACAGAAGAGAGAGAGAGAGAGAGAGAGAGAGAGAGAGAGAGAGAGAGAGAGAGAGAGAGAGAGAGAGAGAGAGAGAGAGAGAGAGAGAGAGGGGAGAGAGAGAGAGAGAGAGAGAGAGAGAGAGAGAGAGAGAGAGAGAGAGAGAGAGAGAGAGGGGGGGGGGGGGGGGAGAGAGAGAGAGAGGGGGGGGGGGGGGGGAGAGAGAGAGAGGTGGGGAGGGAGAGAGAGAAACTAGGACACATGTGCATGTTAGTGATAATAGTATAGAACATTAATAACAATTGATTTTTACTTACCATATTTATCTTTGGTCAGTGATTTACGTTGTTGATATCCAGGTGTATTAATCTAACAAAGACATATGAACAAAATATCAGTATTGAAAATCCTTGTACTGTATGTGATAGAGTTACCTCCCTTCCAGATAGCATACAGGGTCAGATATTACTTTTGAATTAATTTTTTGATAAACCAATTGAATAGAAGGAAATCTATTATATGTGCTAGACATTCTGATGGTTGGCTCATACCAGATGTGTGTCTGTCTGTCTGTCCAATGTGTGGTTTTGAGGTCAGAGGATACTCAGGCTAGACGTACATGTATCAGTGTTGTTACACTTATTTTTTTTGTAACTTATCTTTTATTCAGTACAATGTACGAGAGATACATGAATAAAAATAAACATACGCTTACAGACACATGCGCAAGAACACACCTACATATTAAAACTGTGAGACTTTATACAGGTACACACCCATAAACATACACACACCCTCTCACACACATGTAGTACTTATATTCTCCCTTTGTCTGAATATAGATTGATTACTTTCTAAAGAATAACTACAACACAATGAATGGAGGGATACTCGCTACTCTCTTAATTACCACAATTCGTTCATACAACCACAACAATGTCAATGCTTTTGCTGTTCTGCCCGTATATTATACATGTATATTCACCAACTTTAACAACAAATAAACGCAACACCCCCAGTAAAAAACTTTAACAGACGAACTCGTGGCATTTTCTTTTTTTTTTTAAGTTAACATGTCTGAACCTGATGAGTAGCAAGCATTGAAATGACCTTACCTCACTCTACTCGTGTGTGCATCACGTGCTAACTGACGATACCTGGAAATCACCGAAAGTTAATTACATATATGTACATGCTTGCATACAGACATATACAAAAACTTACATATATACATGTATACATGTATGTATACACACAAACAATACATACACACACTCATTTACATTCTTACATTCTTACACATGTCAACGAACATACTTATTTGTACACAAACATATGTATACTACACACATTGTATGTACATACATGACGCTAACATACATCATACTTATTATGCTTAATCATGTACAAGGCCCTACTTGGGCTCTTGAATCAGAACACATCTATATTCTTTGAACTATTTTGTTTGAAATAGCTATATCACATAGAAGTTATATCACTAAAGAAAAATAATATTGATAAAGTGAGAATTAGTACAACATGCCCTTAACCTGCTGTAAACCATGTTCAGACAGTTCCACATATAAACTTATTTTTGTCCCAGGAGGGAAATGTTTTCTTTTGTATATTTTGTTGATATATCTTATTAAAAATAGTCTATTTTTAGCCAACCATCATCAGAGCTATCCAAATTGCCATTCATTTGCGGTTTTTTGGTTACTCCTTCAATCTGACCTTAAACCGTTCTTGTTATTGCTGTTTTGGAGAAGTACTGGATGGATCTTTCTCAAATGTTATATGTAGATTCCCCTTGGTCATTGTGAATGTTAAATTGTGGAACTGATGAAAAAATTTTGATTTTTTTTCCCGTTTAAAGGGATGAAGGAAAAGAAAAAAGAAGAGAAAAATTCATTTGATTTAGAATTAACAAAAAATCACATAATGGTGGGCACTTTAAATCCCTCAGGTATATCTGATTTGTAAATGAGGTGACAACTGACTGAAAATGTCCTCACTAAATCTGTATACTATGTATGTAACCTGGGTTGGTCCTCTTTAACTCTAATGTGTGTATCTGTGTTTGGCTTTTAATAAAACAGTAACTTGAATCTTTATACAGAAATATAATGTGTCAGTGAGATGTTTTTGTTGAGGTTGTACATCAATGGAATGTGAGAGTTGTTTAGCAACAGAATGTTAATGAAATATCATTATTTATCTTTATATCGAAAGAAAAGAGGATATTTTTGTTATTCGAAAAAGAAGTGAAAATTGACCTAATATGAAGAGGATCACTATGGTCAGAATTGTGGAGAATAGAATTGTTAATGAGCCTGTTTAACCTTGTTCCTCAGCGTTTTTAAGACTCTAATATTTGTGGTACATAGTCCTCATTGTGATGTATCTATCAAAATAACTATAACCTTTGTCTCAAATTGTTTTCACCATTTTCTCTTATAGAATATCCTGAATGTTTCATTTCAATTGTCCGTGTTTTTCCCTGGTATATTGCCCAGCTTTCTAATGGTTGTCTCTATTTCTCTTACCTCGACATCAGACAGATTTTTCCAATTGTTTCAGATGGACTATTCCATTTGTCTCAAGTGGGATTGTTCAATTTGTCTCAAATAAACTATTACAATTGTCTCATATGGACTGTTCCAACTGTTCCAAATTGATTTATTTCAGTTGTCTCAAATGGACTGTTCTAACTGTTCCAAATTGATTTGTTTCAGTTGTCTCAAATGGACTGTTCCAGTTGTCTCAAATGAGATTGTTTCAGTTGTATCAAATAAGATTGTTCAAATTATCTCAAATGGACTGTTCCTAAATTGTCTAAAATGAGATAGTTTTAATTGTCTCAAATGGACTGTTCCTAAATTGTCTAAAATGAAATTGTTTTAATTGTCTCAAATGGACTGTTCCTAAATTGTCTAAAATGAAATTGTTTTAATTGTCTCAAATGGACTGTTCCTAAATTGTCTAAAATGAAATTGTTTTAATTGTCTCAAATGGAGTGCTCTACTTGTTTGAATGAGATTGTTCTGCTTGTCCTCAAAGAAATGGCATTATTCCCATTATCTCACATGATGTGTATCTATTGTTTCAATTGTCCATAAACTTTTATCATTTTTCCTTCCCTTTGTCTCTTAAACTCTTAAATGGACAAATTGTTCCTATGTCTATTTGGTCAGTGTTTTCAATTCCTTGTCACCAGTAACATCACTACATATAAATATTTTTGACTAATATGGTGCTGAGTCACGTATAAGTAATAAATATCTATACACCAGTAGCAAGACATTTACTCCATATCTTACTTTCAATATAAACAACATATTGAGAGTTACATCATTTGAAATAATTTATTTATTGCCTTTTCACATGTTAATCTATTTTGGACTAACCTTTAACAGTGCTTGTCAAGACATGTTTGTTATTGATGTATTTTGTTTAGTGTTAATGTAAAATTTCAATAGTTGAATGTTTTTTTGGTAGTGCTGGAATATATATAATTTTTATTACATATGCCAACCTATGTATTATGTAATATCAACTGTGTTGCCTACCTCCGTAAATATTACAAACTTAGTGTGGTTTGATATAACTGTTTATATAAAACAGTGATAACATAATGCTAGATGTTGAACCTGAATGATTTCTGACTAACTGTTTAAACATTTACTTAGTCACCATGAAACACAGCTTGTTTAAAATTCCATCGTTTTCGTAAACAGTATATTTAGAAAATAAATGAACTGTTTACTATATCTGATTCATGTTAGCAAACCATAATTTTCACTTTCCTACCAAGCAATACTGCATTCTTTGTGTTCAATATGTCGCTTCATTCTATATGATTTTCTATAAATTTTTGTATGTGACATGTAATTAAATTACAAGGAAAGTAAACAAACTCCAGTGCGAGGTATATCTTAAATTTCATTGTCTTAAGTTTGTAAATAACAATGAAAGTTGAGCAGAGCTTGGATGAGTGTGTATTTCAAGTGCTTAAAGAGTCGTTTGATAAAAAAAAATGACAAAATACAAAAATAAATGATTTACATGTTTTAAGTGTAGTTAGTTGAGTAAAGGAAAAAAATTAAAAAAAACCCAAAACTGTCATTATAGACAGAACGCTGTGGAGGATAACTTATTCACATATCATTAGTAACTTTAAGAAAGACAAATAAATATGAACAAGTTTGTATGGAAAATAAGTGCAACACAGTTAAGTTATCCATGTAATAATATGCATGTTTTCTTCCTGTTGCAGACCCGGACCAATATGGCCTGTCTCCACATCAGCATTGAAAGCATGTTGCCCACCTAGACTCGAACAGCTCGGTCAAGCGAAAAATCTCCAGTACTATTTTGACAGATCTCCGTACATGATGGTCACACCTGGTGCTCGCAGTGCAGAACCGTCATCACGCCTCAAACAATTGTCACAACCCTTGGCACGGAAACAAGTCCAGGAGCATAGAGAAGTGGAATGGGGTCAAACTTTTCCAGTTACAGAAAGTTCCAAAAAGGCTGTAGCTTCAGCCCGAGTAGAACAACTTGCAGAAGCCAAAGGTTATAATAAATATTTCCGTGACGAGAAACCAGTGCAGTGGGGTGTTACTGAAAGTGCTTTAAACGCAACAGCCAATGTGCGACTGCAACAACTGGCACGACCTCTCAGTAGAACTATGATAAAGGACGATTATGATCCTTATAAAGTGTCCGCAGCTGCACGTCGAGTTCATGCCACTCCGAGAATAGAGGAATTATGTGTCCCAATACCTAGAAAAGTGAGACCAAAAAAGGCCTAATTGTTGTACTAAAACTCATTGGTTTTAATCTTTTAAAATTTAATCCATCTGTAGGAAGTAGCGAGGCATTTCAAGAATTCGACCACAGTTCATTTCCAATATGAGTAGGGAAGTTTTGGAAATTTTCAGAAATGTTTTTACTTATTTCTGAGTTTCAAAATTAATGGAAGCATTTCATAATTAAAAGATTCTAAAAGTTATCTTTTTGGTAAGTTATGTTTATAAGATAGATTGTTTCTTATTTTTATTAAACTGTCTGCCCGATGAAATGTTTCACATTAGCTACAATTTGTGTCATAACAATATTTGTGTTGCTAAATAGTTAATCTAACATTATCAGTAATATGATGTATCAGTTTGCTAAAAATAGTCCGGGTACATATAATGTTTTGACAGAGAATTGATGATATCCTAATTTATTCCATTCACATTGTTTTGATGTTTTTGGAATTGTTAATTAAGTGTTGTGATATTGAGCTTGATGATATCACAACATTGATCACGTGACACATTCTGATCATGTGACACATTGATGAAATTAGTCTCCTAAACATATTTCATATTGTAAACATTATAATGGGAGAAGATGCAGTGTAAATGTGACACCATCAAGTTGATGAAGGATCCTTAACATACTGTGTGTGTAAAACATTAAGAAAACTGCCTGGAATGGAAAATATTTCATTTGTTTATCTAATCTTACTGGATATGATTCGTTAGGTACTCAGTAATGATTAATCTCCCCCTCCAATCCCCCCCCCCCCACCAATTTACTGTGACAACAAGTTAAGTGTACTTGGATTTGATCACATGACTGTTCAGACAGTCACATCAATAAAACACAATATCATTTTAGGACTAAGAGTGTCATTGTAATCCTTATATTACATATTTTGTGCTGTACCAAACTGTTCCCAGGGGAGGAAACTCTTTCATACATTAAGTGTTTTATATTTTTGTTTTGAGTAACTTTCCATAGATTATACAAACTCTTAATTATGGACTACAAAATTCTTTTCAAATCTTAAAGGATATAAATATCAATGACTTACAACATTTGTTTATATATTTTGAAATTTTCATTCTTACCAACCCAAATGTTTTTCAACATTTTGCGTTTCTTTCATATTGTTAAATTCAAACTCTGTTACAGCTAGTTGAAGAAAAACGGATTTTATACGTGGTAAACAAGACTAAGGGTAAATAACTCTTAAAAGACATAAAAACCAAACAGTATTTTTTATGGTATATATATATATCCTAGTATTGTCAAATGTATATCATTATGCACTGGGTTTGTGGTGGTTGTTTTTAATATATTTATAAAAGATTTATCAATTGCACGTGCAATAATTCCTGTATATATTTATCATATTGTGTTGAATATTTATTCGGTCCATGAATATTTATACTTTCCTCATTATAACGTGAAAGTATAACTCTCTACCACTTCAGTATTATGGGTGAAGAATTTGTTGTTTTATTTTCAGTGTGGTTTTTTAAGTCTATTGTACAAACTTTTACAGAGAATGACTACTGAACTGGGATAGTATCTAACAATGTTACACATGGAAACAAGATATACACAGTAATTCAAAATCCGAATGAATTCATTGAACTAAAATGGAGAATTCCCCTTTTACTCATTTCATCAGCAAAAATTTAATGATTCTTTGTGAAGAAAAATAATAATAACAAAAAAAAAACTGCAACATAAAAAGATAGAGTTTTTTTTGAGTGTGAGATATTGTCACACACAGATCTGTGATGTTTTAGATTGTTTTTATTCTACGATGTTTTTCTGCAGTTCCAAGTTTTTGTTGAGGGAATAATAAGAAGTGATCTGTCCTCTCTCTGGTATGGAATTTTGAATTCTTATGAAAGTAATTATATCCAAGCTTGCCTGTTGTTATCTCTGTAGTTAAAATTGTAGCTTTACTTAAATTATAAATGATCTGTTATTTTTGGAGTTTATGATAATTTTACTTGTAAATATGTTTTTGCCAATTTATCTACAGTATATATGTGTTTGCAGTTTTACATAGATATTTAATATGTCTGTTATCATACCTTGGTATTTTCTTTAAAACAAAAAATATATTTGTTTGCGAGTGTGTCAGGTTAGCTTATCAAGTTGTAATCGTTATTTTTTCTATTCTTAGTCAATATTTTAAATGATGATTCTCCATTTGTTTCATTCCTCAAATACTGAATGTTTCCTTTAAACAGAAGAGATACGATCGGTCACCAGGATTATTGTTATTATCTACTGAGTCATTTGTTTCACTTGGGTCATAAGGTGGAGATTCAAAGAGAAATGTGATATTCTGTAGACGCTAAGCTATCACAATTAACTGCCATGTGTTGTCTATTAGAAATGCTAGAAACTGGTTGTGAAATGTCTTTCCAAAAAAGATTTTTTTCAAAAGATTTTTTCAATACAGATATTTATTTTTCTTCAATATTTCACTGTTCATCTAGTGTATCTTGTGTTATTGTTATTTAAGTGTATGCATTTGGAGAATGTATTCGAACTGTGATATTGTAAGAAAGAATGACTCCCAAGTGAGTTATCTCCCCTAGTTGCTCAAGGTTTTCATCATATAGCGTCCGGCCAGAATGACCTGTCATTACGAACTATGAAATATTCATCTTGGGCAATTGCATTCAAGGTTATGGCCTTTAGTTAATAAGTAAAAATTAGCCTAAGGATACGATGTCTGTTTCATTTCTCCTAAAGTGATTGGTCTATGTAAACTTTGTATAAAAGTAGTATAAAACATATTTTCATTAGGCTAAAAAATTACACTTTTTCTCCTGTTTTTGTTTTCAAACATCCATCAGTATTTTCTGTACAGTATACAATAACATAGCAAGTTTTCATCCGATGATTAATTCATATCACATATGAATTTATGGATTAAGCGTTTCCATGGAAGCGATGAAAATCTTTTTCAAAAACCTATGAAGAATAAAAGAATAAATGATCTTACGGTATCAGATATGATAATGATAGATGGACATATCAGGGCATTCTGGTCTGACTACAAGTTTGCATTATATTTTTGTTTTCATTTTCAATTCAGCCTTTTTTAAGAGACAGATTTGGGACTGACCCGACGTGGGCAGAGAAAATCAATAAATAATGGTGTTATCATACCTGGAATTATGTTTTCATTGTTTGTTGTTGTTTGATGACCAGTAAGAAAATAAGGTCCAATTGGCCTGCATAGGTCACCTGGTATTCAATATTCATCAAAAATAGAATTGGTGTTAATATCACAAATATATTGACATGTACAACATTAGCATTCAAATTGGGCAAATCCATTTTAACGATTTTAACCGATTCCAACAACAAAGAGCTTCTAATACTCACCTCTAAACACTGACAGTTATGACCTATATTTTAAATAAATGCCAGATCTGTTTTTCTAAACATTTGGTGGGCTTTGACCTAGAAATACTTGGGTAAAGGTCAATTCTATTTGTAAATGTCAGGCATCATCCTAGGAACCTATCAGCCAAATATCGGGCTTCTTTGCCTTTTGGTTAGTCAAAGAAGTTGTTCAAAGGGTTTAATAAATTTGTGACACCTGTGAGCTTGAACATAGGTCAAGGTAATTTTTTTTATGCAAACTGTCGGGCATTGTCATCTTAAGAATATAACAACATATCATGTCTCTTGGCCTTTTAGCTCATGAGTAAGAGTAAAGGTAATTTCTTTTCTTAAACCTTATCGGGCTTCATCCAAGAAACCTATCAGCCAAACACCATGCTTCTGCGGCTTTTGGTTAGTCAGAAGAAGATGTTTTATTGTTTTAACAAATTTAACACCTTTGACCTTGAACATAGATGAAAGTCACTTCTTTTTGCAAACTTTATTAGTAAACAAACACCCTAAAAAGCCATCAGTCATGCTTTTGCATTGACTAGTTAGTCATTTTGATGTTTCAACAAATTCAACCCTTGGGACCCTGAATAAGGGTCCAAATCATGAATTTTTGCAAACTTTGCTGGGCTTCATCCTAGGAACATAACAGCCAAATATCCTGCCTCTCGGACTTTTATATCATGAGAAGTTGTTTAAAGGGTTCAACAAATTTGATACCTGTGATCTTGAACAAAGGTCAAGGTAATTTCTTTTCATAAACCTTTTCAGTATCATCTTAGGAATATAACAGCCAAATATCACACTTCTCGGCCATTAAGTTCATAAAAGGAAGTCATTTAAAGGTTTTAACAAATCTAACTCCTGTGACCTTGAATATAGGTCAAGGTAATTTCTTTTTGGAAACTGTGTCAGACTTCATCCTAGGAACATACCAGCCAAACATCAAAATATTTGATCCAAGGTGTTTAGAGGTAAAAGTTGACATGGGAAACTGTGCCACAACATAAGCTCATTTGGTACTTCAGGCCAGTTGAGCTAAAAATGTCAAATTAAGGATTTTTAGGTCAGCTGAGTCTCGTGACCTATTGTGATTGCCTTTTGTTCGTCTTACTGTGTTGTCCATCTTGTGTCCTAAACAATTTATATTTTTCGATTCTTTTCAATAACTGGAAGGCACTGAGTTCTGATATTGGGACTGTACCATGCTGGGATGAAGGACTGCCAAGTTTGTTCAAATGAATGACTTGGAATCACTTTATGAAAAAAAAACTAAAAAAAACTACTTTTTTTCTGTTACTTTACTTCATCAAATCGAAGATTTAAATTTATCTTTATCACAACAAATCATCCACTTAAGGAAAGTACTGGAAATCATCACAAAGAAAGGCTTCTCGTTTACAGAAATTATGGACAATTAATCTGATTTGGAATTAACACATATCTAAGCTAAGTATATTAAAGTTGTCCAGTAGCATGTGGTCCACTTTGTAAACAATTGTAAATGTGCAGGAGTAAAATCCACAAGGTAAGCTTTCAGCATCTGGTCCTGATGTAGAAAAACTTTACAAATGTTTCCACTTATTTGACAGAGGCCTAAAATCTTACC